ACTCTAATCACCTGTTTTAGATCAGTGAAACTGAGCTTTATCAATGCTCACTTTCCCTTTTTTTCAAATGAGCTAGCTGTACTGTTTTCCCCTCCAGGTCACAGTGAAGTGACACCAATTTGGGAATGCAGAGAGGACCTATGGGTAACATAGACAGTCATTCCTAATGCATTCTTTCAGTGGACAGGTACCGGGCCAGCAAAACAGAGATCATAGTGCAGAGAGGGAGGAGATGAAAATGGTCATGGAAGGGTGTGGCTAGGGCTGTCTGTAAGTAAGCAAACGGTGATCCATGGACCAGGGCGGAGCACCCTCACTCAGAAAGGGATCATTCTTTAGCTTTTTTTTTTTTTTCTTGAGACAGAGTCTTGCTCTGTCACCCAGGCTGGAGTGCAATGGCACAATCTCCGCTCACTGCAACCTCCACCTCCCGGGTTCAAGTGATTCTCCTGCCTCAGCCTCCTGAGAAGCTAGGATTACAGGCGTCCTCTATCACGCCTGGCTAATTTTTGTATTTTTAGTAGAGATGGGGTTTCACAATGTTGGCCAGTCTGGTCTCTAACACCTGACCTCAGGTGATCTGCCCGCCTACTTCCCAACGTGCGGGGATTACAGGTGTGAGCCACGACACCTGGCCCATTCTTTAGCTTTGAAGGACAAGTAGGATGTGACCTGCTAGTCTCCTTGCCCCCATCTGTCCCCCTTTAGTCTATCCACATGTGATAGCCAGAGGGATCCTCCTAAAACCTAAGAGAGATCATGTCATTCTCTGCTTAGTGTCCGCTAATGATTCCCCATTTCACTCGGAATTATCGCAATGGCTTCAAGGCCCTACTCATCCTGCCTTCCCTGCTGCAGTTTCCTCCACAGCGCCCGGCCACTCATCCATGGGACATTCATTTCAGCGCTCCTCGCTGATACCAAAATCCACAGACACTCAGGTCCCCTATATACAATGGTGTTGTGTTTCTATAGAACCTGTGCACATCCTCCCATATACTTTAAATCATCTCTAGATTATTTATGATTTATGATTAGATTATTTATGATGACTAATTCACCTAGCGTTTATATTGTATTATAAATCATAATACAATATAATACATAATATTATAAATCATAATACAATATAAATGCTATGTGAATAGTTATATTGTATTGTTTAGGGAATAATGACAAGAAAAACCTCTATATGTGTTCAGTACAGATGCAACCATCGGAAGCGTAACTACATTTTCAGTCTATATTTGGTTGAATCCACAATGCAGACGTGAATACGAGGGCTGGCAGATGTGAATACGAGGGCTGACTTCTTTGTTTTGTGTTAGTCTCTATCCTTCATCATGATCTAAAACTCCACGAGGACTAGGATCTTTGTCTGTTTCATTCCGGAGGCTCACAGCAGTGTCAAGGTGCTTGAATGAATGAGACCCTTCAGGAAGGATTTTCAAGCAGATGGCAGAGTAAGCACAAAGCGCAGAGACATGGAAGTTCCTCAAGCATTTGGGAAACTTTAGTTCCATGTGCCTGATGCATAAAATACCAGTGGAAAAGAGGAAGAGGATGAGGCCAAGGCCAGTGTGGCATTTTTCTAAAGGAAAGGCAGAGGAGGGCAGTGACGTGATTATACTTGTGTTTCTGGAAGATCCTGTGGGCTGTGGGGAGTGGATTGGAGCTGAGCAAGGCTGGAGGCAGGAAGACCAGGAAGGAGGCTGTGCAGGCACCCAGGGGAGAGGATGAGGCCCCTGTACACATCAGGGCAGGTGTGGACAGACGTGGGTTTCTAAGAGGCACAGGGGGTCTGGAGTGAGAGGCAAGGCCTCTTCCCCCTTCTCCAAAACAGGTCACCCTGCTCCCCAGTGGAACCTGACTCCCAGCCAGGCTGACCCCCATTCCAAGTCTGAGAGACCCTTCCCTTCAAGGCTGCACCCAATCCCTTTCTCTGGCTCCCTTTCCTCTGTGTCACACCGACATCCTCTGAGTGACCACAGCATCCCTCAGCAGCCACTCCTGCCATTGTGTGCCCCTACCTGTCATGAAACATTTCATTAGGGCATTTCTTGTGAACTTCTTGAGGGTAGGGACTGTGGTGTTTCTGTTGTGGACCTGACAGAATTGCACAATGGTTTAGGGCCTAGGAATTTTGTCTTGGGCAATCTTGGATTTAAATCTTGAGTCTCCCACTTAGTACCTAACTGACTTTCGGTTACATCCCCATCTGCGAAATGGGAACATAAGGTTTTTAAAATTTTTATTTTTACTGCTTTTGTTTGTTTGTTTGACACCCTCTCTCTGTCACCCAGGCTGGAGTGCAATGGCGCGATCTTGGCTCACTGTAACCTCTGCCTCCCGGGTTCAAGCAATTCTCCTGCCTCAGCCTCCGGAGTAGCTGGGGGTACGGTCACGCGCCACCATGCCAGGCCCAGGCTCATTCTGAGGATTAACTGAGCTAATGCACGTAACAGATATTAGCGAGATGTAAAGTGCTCTGATACACCCTCAGAGTATCCTGTACTCCTGCACTGCAGTTTTCACGGCTGTAAGTATTGAACTAACTGCACCGTTATGGCTGGCTGTCTTCCCCAGCAGACTGTAAGCACCATGAGGACAGAAGCTAGCATAGCCTAGCGCGATTGCTCAACATAGTCACAGTTGTTAAATAATTGTGCTGAGTGCGTTGCTGAATTACTAAACGCTTAACACATTGAATTCAACTGAAACTCAGTTGCTAAAGAAGAAAGAATTTTAATCAAGTCAAATTGGCCACAGGTCTCCTCTGGAGCCCCAGTGCCTGCGGGAGCACAGACAGAGTGGACTTCCCTAGAAGACAGAGGGCAGGGCGGCTGGGCGACGCAGGTGGGTGGGCAGCTGTTTCAGCATACCCTTTCCTAGAAGCGGAATATGGAGATCTGAGCCTGAAAACCTGGGCCCAGCCTAGGGCAAGGTAGGTGCAGCCTGCAGGGTGACCTGGCTGAGTCCAGAGTGAGGTTGCTGCCTTAGCCCACACACTCCTGCTTTAACTGGAAGATGCTGGGATCAGAGGGAGGGGTGGGGCTCAGCCTGCCCGACCCTCTGGGGAGCTGGCAGGCCTGAGATGCTGCAGAGCACTGCAGGTCCCAAGGCTGTATATACACAGGGCCGGGAATGTTTATTTTTCCTTATTGACTTTCTCCAAATAAACCCCTGCCCGGCAGAAAGGGGCTCCCAGCAGCAGCTGTTTACCCAGTGTTTGCGATAAAGAGGCTTCTCCATAGCAACAGGTGGCAATGTGCAGCTCTCGGGAAACATGGCAGGGCCTCACCACAGGGCTGTGTTTACCCAAGGGGAAAGAAAAAGAGGCAGAGGGAGATAGGAAGGAAGGAAAGGAAGGAAGGAAGGAAGGAAGGAAGGAAGGAAGGAAGGAAGGAAGGGAGGGAGGGAGGG